GTATTTTGAAAAACTTTGAAACCCGTCCCTTCGAACTTCACTGGCTCTGACCACACAGGTTAGACTATTCAGGGAGGTAAAAGAGAGAGGTACAAGTTTATGTTTTTTTGCAGTAAATATTTAGCTCTTGTAGGTATGCATGGCACAGCATATTATTGGAACCAGAATTATCCTCAGTCTTGGAATGTCTTCTTCAGGAATCTTCCGGTTTTCCATGATTTTGTTCTCTTTTCTGATTCTTGTCACTCATGCTGTCTGTGTCTCCATTGATCTTCTCTGAACTTGATGTAAGTGCTGATTAGCTGCAAGAAATGCTGCAGACCTCCCCTTTTCAAATCCTAGTCCCTGTGGGAAGGAAGTGGAAGCTGAAGCTTGTGCTCATGTTTTACTTACTAGACTGGAAATGTGCTTTCTTTCCCAGAACTTTAAGTTCCCTCTGATCTTTTTGAATTGTGACTTTGCATCTACCTTAGTCCTTATGTCAAACATCAGTACCAGAAGAGATGTTTGCTGTTAGGACCCAGATCTTGGTGGTCTGTATTGCTAGCCAGAGGTTCCCAAGTGCACATGCTTCTTTCTGGAAGGATGCTCAGCTGTATCCCCATAACGTGGAGAATCATCTGTTGGAGCTTCTTGTCCTTTGCCCCTTACCCTTTGATAACTCTATCTCATTTTCACAGAAAACAGATCTTGGAATGAAACAATGAAGCAACTTCTCTTTGGTTCTTCTTCTCCATTAGTATCCTTTTGTGCTTAGAACTTAAATAGACAGGCTCCTCCATGTCTTAGAAGTTGTTCAGCATGAGTGTTGGCAGATAATTTTTAGAGCTTTCACAGATTACATTATGTTTTAAGACATTCAGTACTTAACACTTGTTTGCTTGCTGTTAACCCAGCCACTGCAGAAATATCATGTTGCCCCAGGGTGGTTCCTGCCTCTTGTATAGCTTCTGTTGAGAGTAAACTCTTCCCATATATGGGTAGCTTTTTTAATTTCCTCACATTCATAGGACAATTCAGGTTGGATTACAAGCTCAAGAGGTCTGTAGTCCAATCTCCTGCACAAAGTAGTGTCAGCTGTGAAGTCAGAGCAGGTTACTTATGGCTTTATCAAGTTTAGAAGCAATACAAAACATGGGGTGTTAAATATAATCTCACTTTTGTATTTGAACAGGACACTGCCTTTTTTGAAGACCCCCGAGTTTTTTGTTTCGTTTGGGGTAAGGATTTTTGGTTCAGTATCCTCTTCTCAAAGACTATCCTATTGAAATTTTAGTTGTGTTAGGAAAAGTTGTAGTGGTGGTGAAGCCAGCTGATGTCGTTTCAATATTCTTGAGTGAACAAGCCATGCTTTTGCGTTTCTGAAAAGTGTTCTTACTATTGTAACGTGCAGCACTGTCTCATAAACCTATAGTCATACCTTTCCTAGCTATATCTTGTAGCTGGGGACTCAAAATAGGGGAGAGAGGCTATCAAATCAAAACAAATGAAAACAAAATACCCCCTCTCCCAGAGTTTGTGTTCTTTACCTGAAGACCTAAATAGCCCCAGAAGGCTTTGCTCAGGAAGGTAGGTGAGCTGTGAATGCACCTATTTTAATTGTTGTTTTTTTTTCAAGTGAGAAGAGTCATTTGAGTGAGAAGATTACTTGTCTGTATATTCTTTCCTATATGTTTTCCACATGTGTATTTGCTATATGCTATGTGCCCTGAAATCCATAAAAAAGTGTGGGTGTATGTTTTAGATAAACAAAGGTGAGCTGGGGATTATGACTAAGGTAGTGCATAGTGTGTTCTGTGCCCTTTGCACCACGTGCTTGAGGAACTGAAAAGATGGGATGCAGGCACAATCTACAGCATTTTTAGGGCTAAAGATGTCTCCAAATTTAATATATTTATATGTGAATATGCTCTGGATAGCAGTTTTAGCAAGGACTGTAGGGCTAAAGATGTCTCCAAATTTAATATATAATTTATTTATATGTGAATATGCTCTGGATAGCGGTTTTAGCAAGGACTTGAAGTTTTTAAATAATTTTTCTCAGCTTATTAGTTTACTATTGTCTGTATTTACAAGAGTTTGGACAGTATACATGTATCTCATGGTTACTTCTGGTTTTGAGGATTTCCCTGAAATGATGCTGCAAGTTTATTTCTACAGCTGAAAAGGCTGAATCAAGTGGCTTATGAAAGTTCATTGTTCTGTGGCATATTCTGCTCGGTAGCACTAAATAACAAAACCACGGTTATTATAGGTTTTTAAGGTGTGCCTTTTAAGAAGATAGCAATGAAATACTACTGCTGCTGTGATCTGTCTGGACACATTTCTTTGTATTACATTTGTTCAACATGGGTGATTTTATCAGGAGTTCTTGATTTTTTTTTTTCATTTCAAGGAAAAAGTGAACTCTTGCCAACAAATTGTAAGTTTGATCCACCCGTGCTGCAAGAGGCCAGGAGCCATATGGCCACAATTACTGTAGTTGTAAATGAGTAAATAAGTCCTGGTGACAGGCATGGCATATTTACAAAGTTTTGTTTGCCTTCCTAACCACAGTAGCACGGCTTCCTATGAGAGTAGTGTGACTGTGTGTGGCTTTGCAGAAACCTGGATAGTGTTAGTAATTCTTCGTTTATAGTTAATTTTGACTTGAATTCAGTTTTCACTTCAAATATCAAGAATTAATTTGCAGCTAAATCTAAGCTGAAGAAAGGGCTTTTATTTTTTCTCCAAACAAATGCTGATAAATAAATAATATAAATATGGATAATGGTTTAAGGGAAAAAACCCTCCTGACTGAGCAAAACTAATCACTAATATGGTCAAATGTTATGTGCCCAAAGGCATATTTTTGTAATTTCGGTTTTAGCCAATTGTTTAAGGCATTCACTAATGTATGTGCTCTGTGTTGGTCTTCCACACATGAAGGATTATATAATTTAAGATTTTTTTTTTTGTCTCTGAAACTCTTTGGCTATTGTGGTGTTACAGAGCTATAGTTAATAATTCTGAAAGGAGCAGAACATCTTTAAACATAGATGACCTTTGTTTTGTGTTAAAATCTAGTAAAATTTGCGTAGATTAACTTGGTTGTCTTTAAAGGTATTTACACAGTTTAAGCAGCAACCACCGCTGAGGGCTGTTTTAGAAGATTGCTGTTTTATATACCTCAGCACTGGGCCATTGCACTTACTATTTCAAAGGCTTTTGGTGTCATAGGTCGTAAAAGTTACCAGGTTTTAATTTGGATCAACTGCCTCAAGTCTGCAGCTCAGATTTTGTTGCAGCTGTGCTTTTAAAGATATATGGAGTTGGTTTTCTTCTTTTTAGCCCTGAGAAGGGATGAGATTTCCTTTTTTGCTATCTATCACTTCATTTTTTTTCTTTTGTTTATTTGAACATATGATTTTCTGACTGGGTGAGTGTACAACTGGAATACCTACTACTGAAAAAACGGGGAAAAGGTCTGTCACAGTGAAAGCTAAAGTCATTGTGGTGGAGAGGGGAGTACGCACAGGAGTTTGCCTGCCTTGATCTCCTTCAGGTGCTTTGAACAAAGGCCACTTCAGCCCTCAGTTGGCTTCTTTAGTTAGAAGTGATAAGTGGATTACTTAGTAAGCTATCATGTCTGGTCATTGGATTCAGTGCTCTGGCCAGGTAAATGACCCTTCATATAGGACAAGTTTTTCCAAATAAAGCTAAAATCAAGCTCTGCACTATGTTTCAAAATGATAATCTATTCAGTTTCATGAAACTGAAGGATATTTGTTTTGGAGATCTAGCATAGCAAGTAAATGCTGGGGATGGCAGGCTGTATAAAAAAAATAAAGTAATTACTTTGCCAATGTGTTATGTACATATTTGAATGTCCTGGATTTCCTACTGCTTCATGAAAATTTAGACCATCTGGATTTGGTTTTAGCTTTTGATCTTCTGCCATGACCCTTATAATCACCTAAGCTATTTTTATGCAGTATATAATAGTTAGCTATAGAAGCTTATGAGTCTTTTTCTCGCAGTAAGCGTGATAAGTAGTCTCATCACATACATATCTCCTGTACTTCAATTTCTGTTCAAACATGGATTTGTTATTTGGTTTAGTGCTTTGTATTTAATGGTTTATATTTCAGAAACAGTCTGCTCACCTGAAAGTTCTAATGTTATTTTACCCCAAAGTTGTTAGTCTTTGACATACAATTGCAGAGGAACTTCAAAGGACTCTAGGACTGAAGAATTGTCTGATTAATTTAAGCTTTGTTGAACAATGTGTCGAACTTTGGGACCTCTCTATTCTCATTTTATGGAAAAATAAAAGCTATTGTGTTCTTGTTGTAGCTGAGATGGCAGACCATTTCCTGTACCTTTCTCCTTCCCTAGCAATCTGTGCGACAAATTTATGCTAAATCACAGAAGGATCTTCTCACTGCATCTCAAATTAATCTGTACACTTTTGGTTTTCTTGGGTCAGGGTGTAATGTGGAACTGAACCTGATATTTGATAAGTAGCTCAAGACGACTGTTGCTTACCAAGCCTGTTCCAACCACGCTTTCCAAGTAGTATATGTGGATGGGATTACTTGCCTTCAGTTTTGGTCTTGTGTGGTGTATGACCCAGAGTTGCATGATGGGGATAAAGATCACATGGACATGCAGGCTGATTCTGTGCTCCATGTACACCTTAACTGTGCTCCGTCTTCTTATTTTGTCACGTGTGGCAGAGACAAAGATTATGTTGTTGTTGTGTTTGGTTTCCCCTGCATGGTAGTTTACCTATGCAGGGGATGGATACAGAGTTTGTATGTAAACACATTCCTGTCACATTTCAGGAGCATAATGGTCAGAGCTAGAGAACTCTAGTCAGCACTTAGCAATTAGTAACTCTGCTTTAAATGGATGGTCTTTGTTACTGGAAAGTAGTGTTTGCTTGAATCTCACATTAAATATTTTTTAAATTAGCAGTTATTTTGTTTCTAAATTTTTTTTTCCAATTCTCTCACTAGATGGTAAAAGCAATCCAAGTTCTACGTATCCATCTGCTTGAGCTAGAAAAGGTTAATGAACTCTGCAAGGATTTCTGTAGTCGTTACATTGCCTGCCTGAAGACAAAAATGAACAGTGAAACTCTATTAAGCGGAGAGCCTGGAAGTCCTTATTCACCTGTGCAATCTCAGGTATGTTTCAAATATAGTTACATGTATTTTTGCTTAGATTTTCTTAGGAAGGTATAATTACACTTCTGTTGCTATTAATTTGCAGAGTTTCTGCAGTTTCTTTCACTTTCTCAAAATCTGTTGTTAAGAGTAAAAAAGCTGTGTTTTTTTTTTCTTGTGTACAAGAAAAACTTGGAAACAGAATAAACAAGGGAGAAGAAAAAACATTCCTTGTTAAGATTATCTGCTTAGTCTCATTAAAATATCAAGATGTCTCATACTTTTTATACACAATCTGTATTCTGGAGCAAATAGACAATGTCTGATAGATTATAGTTGCAATATTTGAGATATATGTCATTGCATGTCAGCTAGGGTAACTGTGTGGTTATGAACAGTACCCTAAACATATGAACCTCAGTTTATATATTGTTGACATTAGCTAAATGCAATAAAACAATTGCATTTTTTTTACTAAATGGACAACAATTAGTACATTATGGTTGATGCTCCTGCGGTTAGATGCTGGAAAGTGAGCCGTGCCATCTGAATACCTACTAGATATCTAGTCTTAGGGGGATGGTTCTTCTCTGACTTACTAATGTGTTTGATGCTATGTATTCTGAAAAGCCTCAATGACTTTTAAACTTCACTGTCTGGACTCCCTACTTAGGTTTTGGTGTCTGGAAGTGTGGAAAGGAGAATCTAAAATCAGACAAAAACAGCTTTTAAAAGATGTTTTTTGCATGTCCTGTCTCTGTAGAGGGAGACAGGAGGGACTGAATTTTGCTTTTGGTAACAGTAGAGTATTCATACATATTAAGGAATGTGTAAGAGTTTGCATGGTCAGGCTTGAGTAAGAAGTCTCCTGAGCATAATAAAACATATTGGGCATCTTGAATACTTAATACATTATTTTGAAATTGAAGGAATTAAGGTAATAACTAAAATTCTAAAGCTTTGATGCTTGTAATAAGAGCATCAAGGGTCCATTTCATCTGTCTTTTTTCCCTTATGCCTTTGGAAACTGTTTCTCTTAGACTCATTTCTCTCCTAAAATTTCTCAATGTAGTTTTATGTCTTAGTTCTAACAGTTGCTTTCATGAGGATTTTTAAAGGTAATGGTTGGTGATAACAAGGAAGTTAATGTAGGTAATGAAGAACATCTAATGAAGTCTCTTTCTCTTTGAAGTTAATCCTGTGATTAGACTCCAAATGTACTTTTACTTCCAAAATTACACAAGCATGCTTTATCTCCTTAAAAAAAAATAAAATAACTTTTTTAAAAAAATGCAAGCAACTAATTGTTTTATTTTTCTAGCAAATTCCAAGTGCCATTGCAGGCACACTCAGTCCCCAAGGGATTATGGTGCCAGCATCAGCATTGCAGCAGGGAAATGTAACTATGGCAACAGTAGCAGGTATGACACAGTAAAGAAAAACTGGCACCTTGCTCTTCGTTTTGGTTTCTTTTATAGTTGTTACAAAAAAATACACAAATACTTTCAAAAATGTGTTTTAAATCTAATACCTGAAAAGTTGTTATAATACAGTGAAGTGCCTTACTGGTTTCTGAATGTTTGTTTAATTTATACGTGCACCAAATATGCAAATGTGAGTGGAGGTTACATATATATAATATTAAGAGATCTTTCTGTGCAATGCTACTTTTAAAAGACATTTCAGAGACTGGGATGGTTTACTTTTTCTTTTCTTTTTTTTTTCCCTCTTCAAAAAAAGAATTCTGTTTTGACAAAAACATGCATTACCTAAAATATTGCACTTGCTAACTGTGTCATGCAGACCTACAAGTCTCTGAAATCCTTGATGTCCAAGTTGTTCTGCTATTGTATGGAGATGACACTTGAACTGAAATGTTTTATCATGCTTCTAAGTAAGGTTTTAAAACAAACAAACAGAAAAAAAAACCCTTGACGGACAAATGCAACAAAGCAACGCGGTCTGCTCCTAGACCACATACTTGCAGAGAGGTTATCCTGAGACATGGTATGTGCTTTGTGGCTCTGGTGCCCGGGACCCCCTGTGCATTCACTGGGATTCTGTCATCTTAGTTGGCCTGAACATCCAGGTGTCACCCAGCTGAGTGCCCTAACCACTAGGTGTGGTTTTGGTGTTGTGAGCCTTGTTGGCTGAAAAGTTAGCTCAGTTAAAACAAAATGATGAACTATTTTATAGCCTGATAGTCATGGCATTTTCCTTTGAAAATACCAAGTTTCATACAGATTTTTGTGGATGAAAAAATTTTAGTGTAGCAAAGAGCACATCTTACATGCATACTAGAAAAGAATAGTTGATATGTTATCAAAACTGTTGTATTGTCTGCAGTGCTGATGTGTTTGTGTGTTTAAAGAGAATAATATTTGAAGGGCTTTTGCTTAGCTATAATCTTTGTTGCTGTTTCATTTTAAGGGGGGACAGTGTATCAGCCAGTCACCGTGGTCACTCCACAAGGTCAAGTGGTGACACAAGCACTGTCACCTGGGACTATTCGGATCCAGAACTCTCAGGTTTGTTTCATGGGCTTCACAGAATAGTATTCTGGGTTCAAATAAATCTCACTGTTTTTAAGAGTTTTGATTTAAATTTGACACACTGTCAGAATGAGCTCTGTGTGCACACACGTAGTAACTAATGTAAAATGAGTGCAAGTGCTGCTATAGGAGTTACAACATTTGTGACGTGGCATAAGGTCCCACACAGATCTCCCTTGCCACAACAGGTCAGCATAGTTCCTACCTGTTAAATATCGGTTTTTTACTGTTGGTAGAAAAGTATAAATACATGATTTTTTTTTTTTTTTAAAAAGAATAATTAAAAAAAAAAAACACTGCCAAACCCAACAAGCAAACAAAAAAACTCCCACCAAACCAAACCAAAAAACCCTCTGAATTAGATAGACACTTTTTCAATGATTAAAACTTTCCTAATTGTTGAACAAGGTTTATGGCTGGATAGATTTACTGTATTGCATTATGGTGCCACACTGCTGTTGTAAAAAATTGGACTTTTTATCATGATGGCAACCACTAGTACTGTGAAATTACACGTATTTCGGAATTTATGTACGTTGAGAAGCATTTTGCCGTAAAACCTTCACAATACTCAGTTGAGATTATGGGGGATCCTCACATTGGGCTCATTATATCATAGCGTTAAAGGGATGGGCCAGCAGTCTTTTTCGGGGAGGCTTTTAAGTGCTGGATCTGGAGAGCTCAAAGAAGCAACTAAGGAAAAGGAAACATGAAAACTAGACCATCTTCAGTTACAGAAAACCTTGCTAGCTTTCTGTTGGAGCAGGGAGTGGTAAATCAAATCTTCCAGGAATCTGGAGTCAATTAAAAATGTGAATGAGGAGCTACCATCTCCACAGCATAAAATCTGTTGGTAATCACTGACTCACTGTCTTTTCTTCTGCCTTCTTCTGATCTTCTAACCTAAAAAGTATGTTTGGAGTATTCTTATCTTCTTTTTATTGGCAGTAGCATATATGTACTTGCCCATATTCTTCACTAGAAAGCATGCAGTTCTGTCCTCAGATACCTTTCAGAAAGAAATATGTAAAATTACTTTCCCAGACTGAAGCAGTTTTGAAGAAAAATGCTTTTTATACTTCTGATGAAAAAAATTAAATACCGAGTTGAAAATAATACCTATAGCCTATAAACAAGCAAAAAAAAGACTTGACCTTCTATATATATCTGTGGCTACTGTTGACATTAGAGGAATCTCCAGACCCACATATGCGTAGGTTTGGACCTGTATTCCTTGTCACCCATAGGAAATCCATTTTCAGATTCTTCTTTTCAGTGTTTCAGAATGCTGTGGAGGTAGGGGGAAAATACTGAGGGAGAGCTATTGAAAGGTTATTATAAAGCCTCCAAGTACAAGCAGATTATTTAGAATTTAAAACATTATTTTGGAAATAAAACTATACTCCGAATATATATTTGTTGTAATTTGATAGCTTAAACCTCATTTAAAACTTGTTTCGTCCAAGACGTAGCCATAATGAGTGGCTTGAAGAAATTGCTCGGTATTGTCTGAAAAAACTGATTTAGAATGATTTCCGTTATAATTGTCTGAAATATAATCTCATGTGCAATTTATATGCTGTTTCTTCTTATCTCTGCGGAAGCGTTTAAGAACATATTCCCTAATGTTCAGATAACTGATGTGCAGATGATTTGATGTATCCATAGGAAGTGAAAAAGAAAGCAAAAGTGAGAAAGAAATAGGAACCTTTAGGAAAATAGTAAGAGTGTTGTAAAGTGAATTAAGTGTTCTGTTGTATATATCTTCTTGCTCTTTGAGAATTTAGATGCATTTATTTAGCAGGACCTTTAGCGTCTTTATTTGCAACTCTAGCATAATAATTAATTGTACTTTAAGTGCTCAGTTTAAGTCTTAAATCAGTACTGTTTTGCAGCTTCCATAGTTGTTTATGTTTGCACACAGTGAGTATATTCAGTATTGTGTTTTTCAATTGCTCTTCACATGTGCAAACGACTACGTAGGGTGACAAGGCAGTTGGATCCCTAGGGCAGTGTAGATTAATACAGAGGATCATTAACCTGACCTGTACTACATAGGTGGATTTTATTCTGAATTATAGTAAATCAGTATTTGGCTGTTGTCACAGGATCACATACACAGCCTGATAACAGCTGTAGTTCTTAAAACAGAAGTTATATGAAATGTGAAAACTATAGAAGTCTGATACAGCATTTTCCCTGGGTAAAGAAATTTTGGAATGCTGTTGTAGGAGAGCTGCTATTGTAAGTCTTCCCTAGCAAATAAAGTAGCTTTTTATAATCGGCATGCCTCAAGCCTAATTTCTTTTCATTCCTTCTATAAAATGAGTTATTCATACGTTGATACAGAATACTACTATTACTATGTTAACTGCCTTATTTCTTCTAAAATTATATGTGCAGCTTCAGTTGCAATTAAACCAAGATCTAGGCATCTTGCATCAAGATGATGGCTCATCAAAAAATAAAAGAGGAGTTCTTCCCAAGCACGCTACAAATGTGATGAGATCTTGGCTTTTTCAGCACATAGGGGTAAGGACTGAACATGATCAGGAGTCACAGGTTTTTATGTAACTCTTTTATGTGGTCTCTTATGATTTTGCTCCATAGAGAGGTGAACTTATTCTGTTGTCATTTGTGTAATCTCAGTTGAGTTTTCCCTGAAGTCGTTTGGAGTAGTTCCACGGTCTAATGTCAGTTGATTTTATTATTATTTTAATAAGTGTGTTACATTTGTACCTCATTATCTCAATAAACATTGTTAAAAGGGATCTTTCTTCATTTCATCGTGTTGAGAACTTAATGCTCTCTACACCCTGATTCACGGCACAAGGAAAAATAGTTCTGTCTGTGTTTTGTGGGGTGTCTTTGTAGAGGAGAATTTCAGATTTTCTGGCTTTATCTCCTTTCCAACAATCCTGCTAATGTGTACCGAGTGTGTTACTATCTACTTGTGCTTTTGAAACAATGCTTTTCCTTTGCATAAATACTTATCCTGAAAGGATATGTGGGTCTCGAGTTATATCACAATGTTTAGTTGACTGGTATTTTGTCTTTTACAACTATGTTACAACAGACAAATGGTACAGGGAAACTGTGTGTATGCTTCTTGCATTACGTACACTCTCTTCATCTGTGTAGTTCAGAGTAGCTTTATTTAACTAGAAAATGCATGTCAGTACTCTCATATGACATTGCCTTTAGGCAGCATAACTAATCAGATCTTATCACATGCTGTGTTGCCCAGGGATCACGCTGTTTAATAAAGACTGTCAGCCATGAGAAGCTTTTTTTCTTCTGAATTACACATCAGCAGTACACTTTCAAGGATAAAATCAGTTTTGTGTAGCAAAGCACTCTTTGTTAAGTGATATTTATCTATAAAAGTTTGTGAGGTTTCTAAAGTTTGTTTTTTAATGAGTCAGGTGGTCTTGATCTAGCAGCTTTAATCAGTGGTAATAAAGGAGTCCTTATTTTTGATGAGGAGATGAAACAAGCTTATGCCTTTTTTGTTTGCTTTTTTGTCTTGTTTAGCATCCATATCCAACAGAGGATGAGAAGAAACAGATTGCAGCACAAACAAATCTGACACTACTTCAGGTTAACAATTGGTAAGAGTGAAAACTCATACTTAATGTCTGTTGTTGTCTCCACATGCTTACAACATAGAGAAACAGCTAAGAGTGTAACTGGGACATCTGGAGTTGAACTTACTGTTCTACATATGTTACAAAATACGTATAAAAATACAAGAATTTTGCGCTGATACACAAGCATATTATTTTTATAGTAAGGTATAATAGTACTTGTGCCATTTAAGTTATAGAAGTACTCCAGAAAACTTTGCAACATTAAGGCATTACATTCTGTTCTGTTTCTGGAAGAGATGGAAGTACTCTCATGTCTCTTCTGCAACTAAAGAAATTGGAGTTTAAAGGCGTTTAGTGACCTGAAGCTCTGAAAACTGTTCTCTGGTAATCACGGCTGCAAAGGTTTATGAAGTTACTGTCAACACATACTCATTCTGCTCTTGTATCAAGAGATGCTGTCCTGTGAGCAGTGATGTTCAAATGGAGAGTGTCCGTACCTCAACTACTCTAGTTCGTGGTTCAACGTGTTGTAGCACATCTTACCTTCACTAGAGGTTTAAGATAATACACCTGCCCCTGCAGAAGAGAGGAGCAAGGGTGCCAACTTGAATCCTATTCTGCTTGTGGTATTGGTTCCTAAAAGTATTGCAGGGATCTTCCTCAGATTTCAGAGATGACGCTGGCCGCGTGGTTGCAGAGGGGTCCAGTGGGGAAATACTCGATACAGTGGGAGTGCAGTGGTTCCAAAAGTGGAACAGCGTAACTGTGCCTGTGTGACACTGTAGTAACAGAGCTCTATGGTACCGGGATCCAATTAATGTCTCTGCAGAGCATTACGTTACAGCATGTGGACCAGCTAGCTGCACCCTACTTCCTTCCTTCCTTTACCTCCTGCAGGTAAAGATTGGTCCTGGATGTGTTTTGTCAGATTTAGCAAGGGATGCTCTCCTCAGTCACAGCTCCTTGCCACAGCTAGCTACATTAAAATTGATTCAGTTAACTGCTGGTAGCTAAGTGAGACGTGCTTTCAGTATTTTCCTGTTCAGTAGCAGAAAGAGGAAGGGTAGCAATTGTCATGCTAAAGTAAACAAGTGAAAATCAGGGAACAAAAAGGAATTGGGAAAGATCTGAAAAATGTGTTTGCTACTGTTTCCTGGATCAGGAACCAGACCTTGGAAAGCCAGGGAGCCTATAAAATAAGTAATGCGGGAGCTTAAGGAAGTAAAAGAAACCAGACCAAACAAACTAGGCTAGGCAGGGGCTAGATTTTAGGTGAGCCCTAATGAAAGGAGTATCAGCTTTCTGAGCTGCGCTGTCAGCAAGTTTTCTGGTGCCTAGTTTTTAATAAGATCTTGAAATGTACATCTGTCATGCTGTCTGGAGAATTTCCCCTTCTGAGGTGGGGAAAAAATGCTGCTAGCAGCAAAATGATAGAAGTACTCTCTTAGCTAGTTTGCCAAAATCGAAAGATGCCAGTGTTCTAGGAGCAGTTTTACACGTTAAAAACAGTGTCAAGCCAAGCTGGTAGGGACAAGATTTTATATTCCTTTTTTTTTTTTTTCCCTGCTGCTGCATACTTTTTGAACCTGATTGAGAGAGAATTTGCAGCGGACTGGTCATAAGTAGTCCTTGCCTTTGATTGTGTTTAGGTTTATCAATGCTAGAAGGCGAATTCTTCAGCCGATGCTGGATTCCAGTTGTTCTGAAACTCCAAAAACAAAGAAGAAAACAGCTCAGAACCGACCCGTTCAGAGGTTCTGGCCTGACTCCATTGCCTCAGGAGTTGCTCAGCAGCAATCTAATGAGCTCACAATGTCAGATGGTAAGGAGAACTGGCTAAACCACAGATAACAGAGTTAATTCCTCTGTAACAGGGAAATGAAGGGTTTGATGCCTGTGGGGGGAGGGAAACTTCTTGATATTTCAGTGGAAGTGTGTTGTTAATCTGGAAAAACGTAACAGAAATGTGTCAATTTTTCCCTCTTTAAAAATTTTCTGTGTTTCGGGGGGATATTTTATTGGAATTTATGTTGTGAGACTGTTGCTTTTGTTTCAAAAGTTATGAAACAACAGAACAAAGGTTAGATATTCAACTAAGGTCTCTCAGTATGTGTATGCATGTCAGTAGCATTCTGTTTGATTAGCAGCATTGGACTGCAATTTCAGTTGCATGACACTCCATCCTGTTCACATTCCTTTCACTGCTGCTGGAGAGACTGAGCATCTGCAGTTCCATATATGCCTCTTGTGTCTCAAGTTGAACATTGAGGTGCAGAGAAATGTAACGGAGCCTCCAAAGACTCTGTCTGCAGTAACTTCCTTAGCATTAGATCGAACAAGTAGACTCAATTTAAGAAAGATAAATAACTGCTTTAATTTCAGGACCATCCTTTCCATCCTACCGCCTGCTGCTTTATTCCTTTCCAGTTGGCAGCAGCTTCTCCCTTGGCCTCTGCTGGATCTGACTACAGCTTTATCCATTTAAGTCACCTTGAATCTCTGTGAACGCTCCCATTTTTCTGCAACGAATTAAGCTGGAACACTTCGCAGAAGTGGTCTTGAGATGACTTGGTTGGAGAATTGCTGTGATGGGTGTCCATAACACAGCTCAGTTTAAGATTCCTGGCCAACTTAATTCTGGCATTTCCTGATATTTAAGTATTTGACAACCTATATAGCTTTTATTTTAATTTATTTCCTTAGGTTTTCTTCCTGTTGATTAGAAACAAATTCTGTTATATATAAATATGTGTTACTTAAAATTTGAAACTGAGAAAGATGCTAAAGTACTACAATTGTGCTTCTCCAGGTGCTGTTGTAACAATTACAGCTCCAGTCAACATGAATGTAGACAGTCTCCAGTCTTTGTCATCCGATGGTGCTACTTTGGCTGTTCAGCAAGTTATGATGGCAGGGCAAAGTGAGGATGAGTCTGTAGACAGCGGTGAAGATGATGGAGGAGATCTCTCAACAACAAATATCAGTGGGCTTGTCTTGGATAACAGCGATTCTCTGCAGTAAGAAGCAAGAGAGTGGGATAAAATGTTTAGGAAAAAGAATGGACTGACTGACTGACTGTTTTTATAGTTTGCACAGCAAACATTTTACACAAGTTTTATTTCTAATATGTTTTATATGTAGATATAGAAGGGTGCACTTTTTTGTATTTCATAGTAAGCTTAAAGAGTGTTTTTGCAGGTGCAGCAACTTCTTTCAAATGTGTTTTTTCATTTCCTTGTTTCAGAAAATTCTATCTAGTAATATGAAGAACCACGTAAGCACCCCTTTGTTCTTCGAATTGGAAGTGCTGCAATTTCTAAAGAATTATGCAGTTTCAATTAATGCTCTTATTTAACACAGCTCTTGATGGGCAGGTGATGTAAATTTAAAGCATGTGACACTAGTGTGTGGAACTTGATCATTAAGTTAGATGCATATATTTGAAAGATGCTTCTGCACCTTAAAAACTGCTAGTCTGAGGTGGACAGCAACACACATAAAAAGAAAACGTTGATGTGTGATTCAGTAGCGAATGTATGGCAATTTAAATAAGTTTAGTTTCTCTCATAGTCTGTGAGCCTGTTTATCATTTGCTATAAAAACTCCTATTTTTACCTTGCCGGGGTTATTGGATAAAAAATATTTTTATAAATTCACTAGGAATTGGGATGATGACTGTATTAAGCAGGAGGAAAAAAAAATAATAATTTCCAGAGGGGAAAAAGAAATGTTTAGTATTCCTATTTGGAAGGTCTGAAAACTGACCCAATTTAATAAACAAGCCTACGCTAGCATTCTATGGTTCTCAGCTATCCCACAGTGATATACTATATTTGATAGTAGCATAAGAAGGGCCCACTGTTTGATGGGATTTTGATATTGTCAAACATTGATTTATATTATGTGTAAACTAATATTCAAATTACATTAGCTCTGTATCTAGACTTGTATCTGAAGATATTTGCTAAATGAGTATTCAGGTAAGTAAATTCAAATACCCACAACTTTTTCAGTTATTAGAGAAATTTAACAGTTTATAGTTTGTACAACCGAATCTGAACAATGGCGAGTTGCCTACTATACAGTCATGAATTCTGCTATCACTCTGCTATTTTGTTGCATTTGAAATGTTTTCCCCTAATACAAAAAGAAATATAACTTACGGATTTATATAAAATTTCTTCGAATCTGAAGGTCGCTACCAGAATATACAGCAGGCTTTGTTAGAGTAGAAAATCCTTGTCTGTTATTTAAAAACTAAGAGCTAGTGTTGAAAACGCCTTTTTTTTTCTTTTTTTTTTTGTGGTAACAGTTCATTTCTCATTTTTTCTCAAAGTTTGGAGTCTGTGTCTGTCTATCCATGAACACTTACTTCTGGAGCTTTGTATTTCCTGTTGTTAAGTACAAGTAACAGACTCCAAGAGTCTCATGGTATGATCAATGTCCTCTTTCCCCTCCCTGTCCATTTGTCGCAATGTTGGGTGAGATCCAAGCCAGAACTTCCTTCTGATTTACACCAAATCTAGTTGCATTTTTAATGTGACAGGGAAAAAGACATTAGCTTTTAGAATCTTTAGACATTGTATTTGTACAAAGCCCTTTGACAGATGCAAATGTTTAATTGAATACTTAATTTCTGCTTCACAAAACACTCGGGCACGTGCTTAAGTCCCGTTGATTTCAGTAGGATTAACGCATGTAGTTTTTGACATGCTTAAATGGTTGGAAGCTGGTCTGTAAAGATTGTCTGCCAAGGCAAGTGTGAGTTGGTATGAAGAAAAACTTCAGAAAGAAGTGTCAGTAGCGTTGGCATATGTACTTGGAGAGTAATACTGGTTTTCAATGACTAGTAGTTATTTTGAATTGGCACTGGGTTTTACTCAACACAGGTGATGTTTCTGCTATGGCTTTTGCTTATTCCTGGCTGAGGATCTTGCTGCTTAGTTCAGATGCTGCAATGATCTACTCCAGCTGGAGTGGTAATTTCTAAAGAATTTGGGTTTTTCTAACTTCTCTGCTTTGCCACATTTGTTAAAAAGTGTAGTAAATGAATAATGAAGATGTGATAGGAAAGCTTTGACAGAGCATAACTATCTCAAAGGCTGTTGACAAATCCAGTTTGACCTCAAAACATATAAAAAGACAGATGCCATGTACAAATCATGTTTCTTGGAAACGTTCAGCCTGCTGCTCTTACAAAGGATACCTGAGATGACTAGAACCAAGAGACAGATTCTGTATTTTTCTTTTTAGTTGTTTTTGATTTAACTCCGTAAGTGCTTCATCGCCCCCACAGTTTCCATTATATAGTAGGTTATATTTGTGAGTCTGTTTGGGTTTTTTATTCAGCTACCCTTGTTCATATTTAATAGTGAGTTAATCCTCGTACTTTTAGCACGTAGGTAGAGGAATAATCTACTTCTCAGTGTGTACAGGCCTATGGACAAATAGGTGTTTTTCCAAATCAACATATGCTGGAGGAACAGGCCGATTTCTTACTAATCTCCTTTCCTGACCTGTTGGTGCTGCCTCGGATCTACTAGCAGAGCTTTCCCCAGCCTATGGTGAGGTGGTCTAGGAAGCAGCTCAGTTGGCAGATCTGTTGGAGTGAGTAGCAAGTAGCCAGCAGTGAAGGGAAGGGTAAGCCAAAATGGACAAGACTCCTGTGGTTGGAGATAATGGGCAATGGGCATTTGCCCACACTTCAACACTATAAGAACTGAGATCTTAATAAGAGAGAGGGTATTAAAATAGTTTAATGTCTGTACAGCTGGCCAGAAGAGGGTTCAGGAATGTGTAGTTTATGTGGCAGTTGGAACTCAACTGGAAACAACCAGGCATCAAGGTTTGCAGACTTCTGAAAGTTTATTTTTCAGAAAGAAACCGTTACCTGGTTAGCTTTTTCTATTCCCCCCACCTTACCTGCAGCAGCAGTTTTATTCTTCTGAAACATTTGTGACCTTGTCTTTAGCTAGTTTATCTGTTCCTGGAAGGTGAAGTTGACAGAATTTACTGTGAAAGGCGGGGTATGGAATAGTTTTACTGTCAAATTAGAAACTTAAAAACATAGGGATGTGAATTCCTAAAACTGAAAAGGCTTTACCGATGTAGTCAAAGGTATTGCTTAACCTATGGAACTCAAACCTTGTCTTTTAGTTCAGTGAGGATTCTGTAGAGGGTATGAACTGCACAGAAATGCTTGTTCTTTTCACAACTTAAAAAAAAAAAAAAAAAGGAAAGGTAACTTCTTTCATTTTTTGCAGTGTAAGAAAGAGTGCTGGTTTTAGCAAAGCATCACTATTCAGGAAAGGTACATGTTTACACTACTTAAAAAGTCTTTATAGGGGACCTAACTTTAAACTCATGTATAATTCCCCTCCCCCACCCCCAATTAAAGTCATATTCATATGCAATAGAACTAATTTGGTTTTAACAGCAATGTAATTCTTCTGCAACTATGACTATTGAAAATTTTAAATTTTCTTCAACATAATCTAGGTCATTAATCCAGAATGGGGTTCTCAGTCCGATTTTTGCAAGATTCCTGTAACAGGCAAGGCAATTTCCTGTTGTTCTTTAACTTTTAGAAACATTGCATTTTAGTAAATCAATTCCAAATCCATCAGGATAGATATTTTTAAATGCTCCAAAGAAATAATAATGTTGGGAGACATTTAGGATCGACAGGCATGGCTCTGGCTCTGCAGAGAGTTCCTAGGTCTGGATATTGGGTCAAAGTGGAGTCCTGCTGACCTCAGGGAAATTCCGTAAGGCTGCATGTTGGGCTGCATTTACCTGCAAGAGAATTGGTTCCTTGTTCTGTTCCCTTTTGGGGAGCCCTCCAACTTTATCTTGCCTGCATACCTAGGTTTCTTTCAGTGCAAACCAGAGTTATGGACGAAAGGCTTAGAAGGACAGGAATTCACGTTGACCTAGTGTGCACCACATACTGTTTTGATGTTCAAAATATGGCCAGGAGGCAGTCCTACACTGAGGAATTAGAGTTCCAAGTTCCTGTGCTTTAAAAGTAGCTTCAGGTTTATGGATATTCTAGTGGAGTAGGGCCACAAAGAGTTAATGCATGACTAATAGATCTGTTTGTTTCTGGAAGAATTAGAAGGCAGTTCAGCTTCCTGACTTTATGAACCTGACAGCCCGAAGGATGAAACAACGCCTTTCCAAGGGATGATAGTTTCATAAAGCCGTTAGACTGGTAGCACTTAAACAAAAAAACAAAACACCCTGGTATTTTGAAAAATTGGAACACATGCACTTAATTGTACTTAAAGTTGATTTATTTCCTGAAGCTGGGTCGTCTTGGGAGAAGTAAGTGAGTAAGTATTTGTCTATGCAAGACACAAATGTCAAAAATGTGTGAATTACCCATTTTTAGGTGCTGTATTGTTACTGTCTTTCTGACTTCTGCTGCTTTGGTTAGTCTTTTAAACCTTTCAGCCTTATAGTCAGCTTAGTTTTAGAGTTGAATAGGCAAAATGTAGTTTTGAAATCCTGTTGGAAATGTAACTAACCTTCATGCCCTCATGAAAGTCTCGCATGTTAAACAATTAAGTGAAATGTTTTGGTTTCCTAATAATAAATTTAAACTCTCACCACCTCCTAAAACCAGACCATATCCATGAAAATGCACGTTTAATTGTAGTGTGCAAATGATCAAATCATCAGCCTTGTGCCGAATACACTTCGCTCGTTACTGTTCAGTGTAGCTGAATAGTAAAGCAGGTTCATTTTGCCAGGCTCAAACTCAGTGTAGATTCCTTCCCCCCACCCCTGCCCTTGGCTTGCTAAGCTCCTTCCAATAGGTTTGGGGTTGTTTAATTTTTAAGTCCTGAAGTAACTTGATCATCCAGTGTAAAGTGTAGTGAAATTGGCACTAATGTGCTTTTAAGTGATTGCCCAGATCATGTTATTTGTTCCTTCTTGTCACCTGGAAATATAAGATCTGTTCCTTTTCTGTGACTTAGTTCTTTAGGGCCTGCTGAGTGATCGCAGCTGGTTTTGCCAGAGAAAAGCAAGGTGCGAGAAAGCAGTGAAATGCCTTACCAACCTTGTAGACTACTATAAAGATACTTACTTCATGGTAATAGAATCCAGTGTTTTCAGGTTGTGACAGAAGTGGCCCATAAATCCTTCCGTGGGTTAGCAACATTTGCTCTATACAATCAACAATCTTTAAAACGTCAGCCCTGTAACTTTTTTTTCTCTGGTTGTTAAGGGATTTTGAAGCAACTGGTCTGTCAAAGGATAAAATTAAAAATGAGAATATGCTTCGTGGATGATTTATTTTTACACGACTGTTCTCTGTGAGAGGAAAAAGCACATTTTTAAAGCAAAGCATTTGCATTACTTTAACATTAACAGTATTGTCTGGCTGAAAGACAAATATGTTTTCAAGAAACATTGAGTGTAGTTTCAAACTAGTTAACCAGTTCTTGGCCAGGGACAATCCTCAGCCTTTTTATTTGTTTGGGTTTTCTTGTTTATGCAAATGAAGAAAAATGTTTACCAGTTCTTACCAGTATGGGGATTTTTATTACGCTTTTGTAATGCGGGAGCAGCTTCAATGAAAGAAAGAATTAGCAGGTAAATAGTCCATAGCTGTGTGACTTTGGGTTTTTTTTTTGTTGTTGTTTCAAAACCGTTAATTAAAATGGCATGGACATCAAAGTTTCGGTAATGGTTCCAAGCATATATGGTAGCAATTTATTTGAAAAGGCTTCCCCTGTGCAAGTCCCGTGTGTTAACTTGTTTAGCCAGATAGATTGTCAGGCATTTCTAAAATTACCATGTTCTACTAGATCAGAAATCTTAGGAAATGAGCAGCCTTTTTATTACAAGATAGCAATTCCTCTCTAGGAAGAAACTCAAACTCTTTTCATCCAGCGTATATGAGTCTTACTCAGCAAAGTTGCAGACAGACGTGGGTGCTCTGAAGGCAAGGTGTGCTTCTGCTTAGCACCGAAGCGTTGTTTACTCCTACTCTTGCATCTGACATGGTGACATCCAAGAGCAATCCCCAGACAGTAGAGCCCTGAGCCCAGTACACCTGGCTGCAGGGGTGGTGTGTGACGGGGCTGGCCAGAGCCGCTGGTACAGCCTCATGATGCCGCGCCGTGCTTGGGACACGTCCCCTTGAGTAACGGCTGGACGGGGGTCACGGCAGGGTGTGAGCACCTTCCTTTGAGTTTCGTGGGCCACGTAGAAACTGTTCCCGTGACCAGGCCAGGGTGTCTGTCAGCTTTCTGACCAACTGTACGACAGACTTCCTCTTGCCCTGAAGAACATGCAGGTCTAAGCACAATTAACCATTTTCTTAGAAGATTTTATTTTTATAGGTGTTTACGTAGTCCAGAACGTGTGCCCAAGAATTTTGGATTGTATTTTGTTTTAAAGGGTTAATCTGTGATTAGCTGAGCAGTATGTGTTCTAGACACAGGAGTATTTGATCATTTCTTTGACCTTAGAAGAGTCCCTGAGAGTAGTGCGAGTAACTCCTGGTGATATAATTGGAAATAGTTTTAACTCTGCTGCTGCCAGGGAGTAATGTTTTCCTTAATCTGAAGAGAATAAAAAAAACAAAGGACCAAACAAAAAACCTGTAAAGCAGATTACTTCACCTAAATTATGTCCAGGATAGTGTATTCCTAGTCCATTGGTTTCAAATTCCCCTGCGAGATGAACACACCCTGTTCAAGAAGGCATTACAGGAATTAGAAGTGTAGTCGTAAGTAAGGGATGAGCTGGTTTGCTTTTGTGGATCACCTGTTTACAAACCAGTAACCTTTAGTGAGCAACTTGGGGCTGTTTCTAAATACCCCTGTTTGTAGAAAACCGTATCTTCAATGCTAAAACAAGGGAAAATAAACTCCACATGCAGTGTTAAATGAGGATTCTCCAAAAAGTAGCAGATAAGGCTGGGACGCATATTAGGTGCTGTATTATTTACTTAAAATCCATATTTAAATTCATGCAAGTTCAGAGTGCAAGGTGCGCAGGATTAAGCCTGTGGCGTATTTAAAGAACAAAATGACAAACCACCATTTAGATACCCTACTAAAATCTGAAAGCAACGTGACCTTCGTAGGTCAGGTTTGGTTTTTTGTCTTCCTGATGCAACTGAGATGTGATCTAGAGCTTATGAAGTAATAGGGGAAAATCTTCAACGGGTATTTATCTTCTGTGTTGGTCTTCGGACTTTTGCGTGCCACGACGAGCATGAGTCAGAAGATGAGGCCCTTGGACCTGCTCCTGCCATTATTCCTACCGCGCTTTTTGTTAAGTTGATCACTGAATCCTAAATATAAACCGGTGTATATTCACGACTTGTGAATGTGGTAATCAAATTTAGTTTAGAGACATTTTTGTTAAGATCCAAACATTTTTAATAGTGATGAAAAACAGGCAGATCATACTTAACTAGTGACGGGGTAACATGCCATTTTTGCTGTTCCCCCCGCCCCCCACCCACAGCCTTTCACTGAGAGCTACAAACCGCAGAGACTCTCCTTAATGTCTTCGTGTTCATCAAATGATGTTCACTACGCATTTCTGCATAGCTCGGTTTATAACCTTATTTGGGCTTTAAGTTGTAGACCACTTCCTTTCAGCCGAGGCTGGCACACAGGACAGACAAGGGGACATAAGTATTTATTATGTGCGATTGTATATGCAAAATCAATTACTGTGCGGGTACTGATTTTCCTAAGATACTTAGGAGTATATATGGTTCCATCGGTGAGAGCCAAATTAAGGCCAGGAAGGAGAGAGAGAATATTTGTTACTAGTGCCTCACTGTGTTTTTATCTTGGAACGAGAGGGTGATTTTTCTTTTTTTTTTTTTTTTAAATTCACAAAAGGACTGTTTTGCACAGCTGATTCTGATTAACTTTCTTAACTCAGTACTACAGCTGGACTGAGACCTGAAAGCTCTTGAAAACGTTAAGAAGCATCCTCAAATGAAACTCAGAGAGATTTTGAGGAACTGGGTTGGCAGTTGATAGATAATACCCGCACTGCCTTTTCAGCTTTTCAGTTTGCTGGGGGAAGCGATACTCCTGACTCACTTGTAAATGCAGTCACACTTTAAGCAGCTACAAAAATAATAATTTTACTCTAAGATCCTCCATCCTGCTTTCAAAGAACTGTTTTTCTATTCCTGTTGTGGTTTTTTTTCTGCTTCCTTCCTTTCTTTGAAAGCTGGCAACAATTAATCCTTGATTACATGCTCTAAACTTCTGTGTCTCTTGAGCTTTTCAACTATGAATAGTGTTGAATAATGACTCACAAATCACTCCAAGATTCAAAGCCAGCTTTGCTGGAAAAAGCCCAACAGAACTGAGTTGTGGGTGCTACTATGAATGCAGTATTGCACAGATAACTAAAAATAAGCTGTTTTTAGCGTAGATGCACAAGCTTAAAGATAAATAACTTTAGATCTAGAACAGTTTGTACATTCTTTTCCCAAATGAATGTGTGTCATTTTTGTCACGTACATGCTTTTTTATAATGTTTGTGTTTGCTCCAGTTAAAGGTCTTAGGCATAAAAATATGCATATTTTTCTATCTGCGTCACAAAATACGCACTTATTAGGGAAACATGCAAAAAACCTTCCTACTACATAGTGCAAATCCTTAACTTAAAGAAATTACACTTTAAAAATGTTCAGAAATACCCATTTCAGTTTTAAATTTCAAAAGTAAAATATATACCACATCAAGTGTGCATATATAGAGTTTGCCCTGAAACTCTTTACCAGCAAATCCCTCTTTTTATGCAGCCCCTTGCTTGCTGTTCTGTAATTTTGACTAAGGCAACCGAAGTGTCAGCTCCTCTGCTCTTCCCAGACAACAGATACCAAATCTATGTTTTTGGCCCCCCCCCGCCCAACCGCCCAGAGGAAGGAAAGGCTGTTAGTTGTAACACGGGGAACACCTGGCCATCAGGACTTCTCTTATTACTATGCAATATTTTTCGCAGTTTCTTCTAAAATATCTCCATGATTTTTCACTGTGATATTAAACCAAAGGGACACGGGAAGAAGATGCATTTTAAAAATCTACTTCAGCTCCGTGTCCTGCTGTAGGTCATACATTTTGCTTCATAATATTTTTCTTGTTGTGTTGACCCAGTCACATTTGTGTGTGCGAGTTTAGTTCTCATCCTTGTGCCGTTTGCTGGTTAGCATGTTGCATCGGTGCTACGCCAGCAGGCAAGTCAGGCAAATATACTCTTAGAATTTCCTGTAAGGAACACATTCAAAAGATAAAGTGCCAAATTTTACCTCTCTCCCTGCCCCCAAATTTTAAAGGAAAAGTATTTCTAGGGGCATGTGGTCACTCCATTACCAACACTGAGTGGGTGCGTGAGGCGATCCTTGAGGAAAGCTCTGTAATGTTCTCATCCGGATCAGAAGTTGCAAGTGCCAAACCTGCTTCAAGATGAGGGTTTCTGGTAATTTAAAAGCATCATACCTAGACAAAATGACAGGCAGCCTTCCCCCTGCATCCAGGCTTTACAGAGGCTGGGGGAGCAGAGCAGCAGGGGTGCTAAAGCTGTTTGGTGAGCCATCCAGGCGGAATTCACTTCTTCTGGCAGGGTGTTAGGAAAGGTGGAAGGACTTGGGCAAACACTTCAACTTCTTGGTGCTGGGTACAGTTGTGCTGAAAGGGGACATCTAATGGGCTTTCCCTCCATATTTTACCTTAATATTTTACAGCCTCATGAGGCAGGAACTGCAAGGGCATGTTAAAAGGACTGATGGTTCTTTTAAATCACTGTGATACAGTGAAGAAAGGCCCTGTCAGTTCCACAAATAACTAAGCAGCAGTAATGATCTTTTGCAGAGTTACCGGACGCTGAAGAACACAAACAAAACCACCACCACCCCAATTTGATTGCACTGTATGTAAAATCAATTCTTTTTAGGAGTTGCAAATTTCAGCTTTTGACTCAATTTTCAGGGCTAGCTTAGGGCTGCACGAGAGTCTGTATGCTGCTTTGCACTTAAGAAACATGTACGGCTCCTTACCTGCAAACACGTGCCTGGCTGTGATGCAAAATTACAGTGACCGTGCAAATGGGTAACCACAAAACTATGCTGATGTCCAGACCACCGTGGGGAAAATCTGACCTGGAAAGATATAAATAACAATACCAGCAGTACCGTGTCCAGAATGTAGAAAAGCACGTGGGTGATTAATATTGGAGAACCCAGGACAACACCCATTCAAATAAAGCATGCTAAAAAAACAAGACGTTAAAAATAAGTGAATAAATTCTGCCAACTGAATGGTGTGTCATCTTTGAACAGTTTTTCTTTTTGTTTTCTCCCTGTGCTGGTGCAGCTGTTCGTGGGAAAAGTAGCTTAATGCGGCTACTTGTTTCAATGCAATGAAATGCAGACAGATCCTGCAAGACTTCCAGGCAGAGGCTAGAGATGCAAGCTATCCTCAAATCAGAGATGATGGCAGAGGGAAGGTGTTCACCACCTCCAGCAGGCAGCTTGCAGAGAAGCCAGTGGGGACTTTTTGCGCAGATATTTGAAGAATAACTCCTCATTGTTCCCATACTGACCCTGTATAAAGAGCATTCACACAAAACCAATATTATTCAGGGATTGCTGTCTGTCAGGAAGCGGTGTGACAGATAAGGTGTGTGACAAAGAATAAACCGCCTCAGCTGACCACCACCCTCCCCAGGCGGCAAGGAGTCTGCCCAAATCACTCATGACTCACCCCGAACAATCACTACTCTTGCAAAACCGATCGCTACGCTTGCAAACTGATTTCCTGAAATGCTTGGCGGACATGAACAAGAGGTAACCCCATGGACTGCAAGGGTACGCAGGATGTGAATGCGTTCACCTATTTGTAAATAACTGCACAGCATGTAATTAAAAACCTTGGTAATGGGAGGAATTTCTTGCACTGCTGGCTTCAGCAGCAGCAGCAGATGTCTTGTGTCTGGTCTGTAAGGTGGCAGTGAGCTTTAACCTTATTAAAAACTGAGAGATTTTTGCAACCAAATGGAGAACAGTGGAGGGGGAAGGGACACTGGGCAAAAGCCCTTTCCCCATGACAAGAAGACATCCTCTGGGAATGGGGCAGGGATGTGCATGAGGCTGGGGACTCACCTTGTGCTGGAGCTGGGGAGCCCTGGCAGCCGGCTGGACCCAGAGCACGCAGAGGCGTGGGCACCCTCGCTGCTCAGGGACGGCAATTTCTGCCCCCCTCCCCCCGGCTCGGCTGCAGTAAAATCCCTGGTGGAAGAGGTGTGTGTTCACTGTCACACGCTCAATGTTACATCTGGAGCCTCCGTCTACCATTTCTGGTTAACACCTACCTCAGAAAACCGGGGGGAGGCAAGAGGTGTTGTTTCCTAACCTTGGTGCTTGTTGCAAGTGACGAGTTTCTCAACTCTGAACTGCAAAGCAAGCACTGCAGAAATTGCTGACTGCCCGAAGGTGACTCGACTTGATGCCTCCTGTGGTTTTCCACGTCGAGTGGGAGCGCGTGGTGGCTCTTGCGAGGCCCTGTCACGTCTCAGTTTGCAGTGAGTGCTCTTCCTCACCCAGACCAACCCTCAGGTTTACTGTGGTTTGCTGCAGATCACGCAGGCAGGCAGCAAAACTGCTGAGCACGTCGGCTCTGTGGGGTGGGTGGTGGCCGCAAGGGTCGTCCTGCCAGCGGGGACAGGATGGGGAGCTTGCCACGTGTGGGTCAGGCGCCTGGGGGGGACTCCTTCACCATTAAAGGTGGCCTTCTCCTCCCTTGCTCCCCTGTCCCTGCAGCAGCCAGTGCAGGACCAGGGCAAGGAGGTATCCCGGCTGCTCCAGCTCCACGCAAAACGCATCCCCTTTTGTCCCCAGCACGTCCCCTTCCTGTGTTCTCAAACTGCCCAGTGCAAGGTCCTGAACGAGTGGGACCCACTTAGTCCCCAAGAGCCCTCCAGCCTCAAGAAAAGTCCCATCCCACTCCCACCTTGCAGCTACCAGCGGAGGGCCGTCGGTGGGGTGGCTGTGCCGAGGGGGACAGTGTAGTCACTCTGGTGCCTTTATTCCCCAGGCTCAGCTTTGAGGTGCGGTGGTTTTTCAGACGTGCTGAGCTCTCACGTCTCTGGCCAAGGCTGAGCAGAGCCCTGGGCAGGGTCAGCCTCTGACAGCTCCAGTCAATGGGGACCCTTGTTTAATCTTGAAAAGCAAATTCACCTGCTTCCTCCAATCTTTCTCTAACCCTTTGCCTGAATCTCATCCACTCACCGTTTTTTTTGCAGCTGAATGGAATCCAACAGAGCAGTAGAGAGGAATATGAAAAGAAGATGGGGGAAATGTTTAAGGTTTCTGGGTATACCCGGAGTCAAGGTGGCCAGAGAGATGCTTGCCTGGCCCAAGTAACGCCAAATAACGCATGAGGAAAGTATATGAGTGCTCATCAGTAAAGTTTTCAATAGTTTATTGGTAAAATTTATTTTATTAAACACCTTGAAGGAACATAATTAACACTTGTTAACATCTCAGCCTGATGAAGCTGTCTTTTTTATTACAGTCTCCCTGTACATCTATATATGTGTATATGTAAAAGCGTTCAGAAGATGCAGTTCTGCCATATCCTATGTCTCCAGCAGTGGTAAGGGGAGAGCAAGAGCGAGGAGGACACAGTCACTGACATGCAGTTTGGGGTATTCCTACTGAACCAGGACACAGCAGGGACCGACAACAAAGTCAGCTCTGCGTAACTGATTCATCGAGGTGGCTGTGAAAGATTGACCTTGGACTGCCAACATCCTTAGATGAGTCTTCAAGGCTTTGCTCTGGAGGATGGAGGCACAAGAGGGGTTTGCCTCCTCCTAAGAACACAGCCACGTGCTAACCCATCTACTCCTCCCACCTCAAAAAAAGCTTAGAAAGGAGGATGTCAGCCAATCTTCTGATTTTAGTCCCACCACTTTGAATTTGACAGAGTTACAGGAAGAGAAAACCTGGCTCCCAGGAGGAAGTCTATCCAGCGAGCTATATAAACTGACTATATAAACATAAATGCGTACAAATGCCCAACCATCTTACAAATAAATAAATAACTGAATTGTTTCAGGTACATATGAGCAGCAAGGTAACCTTTCATAGCCCACCGCCATGGAACAAACCTTACAACAAAGAAAGCTCACCCGCTATAGATGCTTTGCCCTGGTGTATAAATGACATACAATGCAGCATCTCTCCAGCGCTCTGTGGCACGGCCGTATTCATCGCCAAGTCCGACAATTTGAAGCACTTAACGCTTTTCAGGGAGGATGCCCCACAGTGCAGAAAGCCTTCCGCTGCCAGAGAGGCTCCCCTGTCCTCCTGCCCTCAGCCGGCAGAGAGGAGAGGTTCACTCCTTGCTCTCTCTGCCACTGCACTGCAACCGGCCCCCATGGATGGGGCAGGTGCAAATTTGGGCTCCCCGGGCGGTGACGGTGCCGGCG